TTGGGGGCTTTTATCTAAAAGATGATTCAATCAGCTATTAGATAAAAGTACCAAACCCCCCTGCTAAAATGTCAATTATACAGACACTGGGTGAGCCAGGTCAAACTGATGTGATTCTTCTTCTGGGCATGCACTGCACTCAGTGAAGGGATGCACTGAGCTGAAAATAAATGGCTGATTGGTTTGTTTGTTTTTTCTATGCCTGTAAGCATCTAGAGTGAAGGGAAAGATGTGGTCGTGGGTTATCTGACCTTCTAAAGATATGCACAGTTCTTTCTGCGCAAATTTGGAGCCAGATTTAGTTCCACCTATTAGGCGAATGAGTGAACTTAAGCACCTACGTGTAATTCTATTAATTGAGTCTCTAATTAAAAATGGTTAATAACAAAAGGTGGGTAGGTGTCCCTTCTCACTGCTTTTTGTGACTCAACCTTAACGGTCAGATGATAATGTATTACAAGTGCAGATGTGTTTATGGATCAGGGACTTAGACATAGTGGAATGCCCCAGTCCCATGCAGTCACTAAGCCTAAGTCAACTTAGATGGCCAACAGGTGGAATAGAATTTGATTCTTGGGCTTTGGCATTGCTTCGATTGTATACCCCGGACTTAGGAAGTAACAGTAACCTGGACAACCAGTTTTTTTTTGTCAGTAACTCAGTGAAACTTCCCCTTCTAACCAGAATTATTTTGGTCTGGCCAGAGCTGAGTCCTTCTTTTCCACCAAGTGTAGTTGTGAGACACCTCATCATTGTGATATACTACTGAAAAAAACAAGGCATCCTTAGTGTCCAGAATGAGGTATGCCAGTGGGGATCAGAGTCCATCTATGACAGGAATGGCTATTTCACCCAGACAGCTCCTCAGTTAGTCTCGTGTAGTACAATGAAATGCAGAATTCAGCCTTATAGGACCGTGCAAGCAAGGACTTTCAGGAAGGAAGAACTATAGCCCACATCTGAAAAATCATATAATGTTCTAGAAAGCTAAATCCTGTTACACTTTATGCACCTAAATGGCACTTATGCAGCCATACAACTGCACTTTTTGGCATTTACATACAGTTTGAGATTCAACTCTGAAGCTAGAAGTCCATGCATGCTTATTGAGTATGTTCAATAGGCTTGTGCTCCCATTGGGAAGCTGTAGCATAGTGAAACAGAATCACTCTGATATCCATAAAAGGCTGGGAAAGCCCCGAAAATGTAGTTACAGAAAGTCCCCAAGTAAAGCATGCTAGGTGCAAGAGGAGGGTCATGCTACCTTCTTAGCCCCATGACTTACTGGCTTGGGCACTTACCCAGGAAGCAGGATTCCCAAGTTCTAGGCTTCCCTCACCCATGTGGAATTTGAACCTGCATCTCCTACCTTCCCAGAAAAGTTCTCTAATCACTAACTCACAGGATAGGCACTGTTTAAATTGTTCTCTATGCTTCTTCTTGAAGCTGGCCCACTGGTTCCTTGTATTTAATATTCATTGGATAAACTAGATAAATATTTGACTGCTAACCACAAAAATAAAGAATCCCAAACTGTATAAGTGCTAAAACAGCAATGTTGCAGCTATGTACATGCAATTTAGGGGTGCCTGTAGACATGCAGGAAGTGATCTGCTCTGATGTGCTGTAATTACAGTGTGTTTGAGCAGACTCAATTAATCAATTAAGTAGCACACTCTAGCAGCCTTGGCATCTGGTGTATTCAGCATCCCTGTGTTTCAAAATGGCAGCAGAGTTACTTTAACTAAAGCTGATTAAACCTGCTTCAGTTAGAGCCACCCTGCTACCATTTTGAAGACCAAGACACTGAATACATGAGGCACTACAGGTACTTTAATTAGAGTGGCTCCCAAGAGCTGCTGTAATTAAAGCGCCCTCCCCTCCCCAACACATGTAAAGACTCCGAAGGGGCCTAAAGTGAAACAGGATTTAGTTCATATTATCTCCACTTCTAATCAGCACTTCCCCTCTCAAGGCTTCCTGTTAGAAGGATGTGACTGGAACCATTAGAATCATTTGTTCCAGCAGGATGACAATAGTTCACTAGGCTTATTGCATCACATTACTGAGAGCACCCATAGGGTGAGCAGTGAAATCTAACTCTAGCCATTGCCATGAGCAAATGGATATCTATGATTATGCACAGTGCATTATTTGCTGTTGTACAATATGACAAACAGCTTTGTTTCTGTCTCTTAATTGGTTGAACCACCTCAGTAGTCATTTCTGGCCAGCACAGAATGTCAGCAGAAATGAGAATGTTTCAATATTGCTATGAGAACCCTTCTAACACAAAGGCTTCCATGGTTATTTGCCCCTGTTGGGGGTCACAGTACCTCTTCTTTCAGCAAAAAAAATGACTGTTAAAAGTTCTCACCAAACTAAGCATTCCTAAATAAACAGCCAGAAGATTGCAAATGTCAGCTAAGCTGTTTTTGTGGGCCAGTTTGCAGATTATTCCCCAAACCATTTGTGTTGTGTTTACCTAGCTCAGTAGTACAGGGTGCTCATCTTCCTTGGAGATATTTAGAAGGTTCTTGAGCATGGCCTTAATTCTATGTTCATCTTTGGCAGCAATATCATTATAGGGGGATAGGTTCAATGGAGTCACCTAGTAATTTCGATGCAGTGTGTTATTACTCCGAGGATCTGCAAACCAGGAGCAAGCATTGCCAAAGCATTACCAAACTTCTAGGTCTAGGAAAGACCATTCCCATCTAGTCCTTGGCAATTCTGAACTTTCCTGCCCTGTGTGAGAAGGGCAACAGATCTGTATTTTAGCTCTTTACTCTTATCCATCAAGGCATGCACATTTAAATACAAAGGGTTTGATTCTACCTATTAACTGTTACTCCAGTAAAATGGGAGCACAAGGTTATCTTATTATGTCAGCTTTGTTTGCAATCAAACAGACTTTTCAGTATTCTGTTATATATTTGGATAAATCAAACTACTCTTTAATAAACAGTACAGATACATTTTATAATCAGCTGGATAAGCATTGAACAGGGATGATTTAGAAATAGAATTCTTGCATATGACCAGGAGGTTGGAACAGCTGACCCTTGAAGTCCCTTCCAACTGTTTGACTCTAAATCACTCTCAAAATACTTGATTTTTCAGCTACATGTTCATTAATGTACCATAATTATGGTGCGTTACATTTACTACATTTAATGACAGGTACTAACTTAATGCTCTGTAATTGGCGCTATTGTGCATTAGTGCAGGTGACCAATTTTTTAGTTACATTAATGCGCATTAGACTAAATCTACTGTGCATTAGCACATTAGCATGGGTTTTATCCACTTTGCTAATGCACAGTACAATTAGTTTTCCACACTTTAAGTGTCTCATGTAACTGCACACCCAGACTCAGAAAAGAAAACCTAGCACCAAAAAACCAGACAAACCAGGACAAAGCTCTTTGAGGGAGGTTTTGCTGTTTGGAGTCTGAGAGACCAAGCTGAGTTTTCACTATCAATTATGAGAAAATTCTATGTTGTCTGAAGAACAAATATAGAACCACTCAGCTGCTATGAAAATTAGAGGCTTTCTATAGACAGGGGTAACTGTCATAGCAAAGAAGCAGAAAATAATTATCAGATGAGGTTCTGCTAATTGAATGAAATGCAAATTTTGGGATAATAAATCACATTATAGATGTGGTAATAATTTGAACTGCTTCATTGCAGATCTGCCCCATGCTGTTTGGATGCTCCAGTGAGCAGCAGTCAGCAGGTTCGTGGCAAGCTGTATCTATCTGTCTCAGACGGCCGGAGCCGACTTGAGGTGATTTAGAAATTACTCGGTCATTGGGCGGGCTGGTGAATGGAGAGGCAGACAAAACATATTGGTTGCAAAAAGCTTTACTTACACTGCTAGTAGTCACGACACAGGTGGTCCGGTCACTTAAACAACTACACGAGTTGCTCCAGCTGGCAAGGCTCAGGCCAGCGAATCCATCCATACACGAGTCAGGCCGGCAGGAAAAAGGGTACGTCGAAGGATTGCACTCGGCGACGGGGAGAAGAATCAATAGGTGATCAGGCTATCGATCAGCTCAGCCGCAAGTCAGGAATCTTCAAAGGCACTCTGCAGCGTGCTCAAAGTTCTCCGACTTGGGCGGAAGTCGCACAGAATTTTATACGGCTAGCAAGTCAATCACTAGCCGCCACGTAGGAATAATTTAGAACTGGCCAATAGTGGGACACAAATTTGCATACGAATGGCGGGAACTCTCTTGCATCGGGGTTTTCTGTTGCAGCAGAAAACTTTTGCTGTGCACAGAGACTCTCATGTGGCAGGAAAATTCCATCGTGCCGAGGCACTAAAATCATTGGGTTGTGACACTATCCAGGTTCCAGGATCCTGTTTTGGTACATGTCTACCTCACAGAATTGTATACACAGCCTCAGTTATCTTTAGAACCAGGTGAAACTTATTAGGGTTTATTTATTTGTTTGTTGGGGTGGGGAGAGGTTATGGAGGATTTTGAGATTTGATTTTGTTCCAATTTAGAACAGCACCTAAGCCTTATGAAATACTTTGTGAAGTGGAGACCATCCCTACTTGAATCCAAGATTTAGGGTAGACAACCTGACAGAGTGTCTCTGAGTTGAGGACCCTGGAGACCCAGGCTCCCAAAAAGTCATATTTAGGGCAACCTAGAATAGGCCTTCCAGGCCCTAATGTCCCACAAGGTTAGCTGCTGAAGAGGCAGGAAGGCAAACTGGAAGGCCGTACTTTAAGAGACACAGGGCACACCTACACATGCAATTAATGCACCTGAATTTACTGTGGAGCAATTTGCTCTGCAGTAAACTACTCCTGGGTGCAGAATCTACATGTGCACCTGGGTCAGCAGCACATCAAGCCAGGGCAGAGAAATTTAGGTCAGGGCTGCTCCTGCCCTGCTCTTCCCCCTGCAGCAGCTAGGGGGAGCTCCAGAATCTAGCCACAGATCCCCAGCTTCCAGCTCTGCTCTGTCAAAGGCTGTCTCATGCTTTGGTCTCTGGCCACATGTTTCTGTGGCCCCAAGCAGTCTGCAGCCTGGAGACTGAAGCCTGCTGACACAGCCCTCCAGGATGCCATCCCAAAAGCTTGTGCCCAGTGTACCAGGTATGCTCCTTGACCTTTCCCCCGGCAGCCAGGGCACCATGTCCATAGTGCAACCCCAAGAACATGCTCTCTTTGGACAGTTTGCAGAAAGGCCCACACTGGCAGAGGGCTCCAGGGTGAGCCCCAGGCTGGCAAAAGGCTCCAGGGAAAGACTTGGTTGGTAGAAACGGGCTGGTAGAAACCTCCAGGGTAAGTCCCAGGCTTGTAGAGGTCTCAGTGGTGAGCCCCAGGCTCTGGGTGGCTCTGTTGGATGGTGGAGGAGCTGCCCATACAGCAGCAGGCAGGAGTGTGGCCCCCTGCTGGCTCAGCTGATTAAGTGAAAATTGCACCATCTACATGTACATTTAATCATCCTAATTTAGTCCACCATTGGATAGTACTTGTGTCTTGTGGGGTTATTCTATCACAGAGTAAATTATTCTACTCCGGCCTAATTCCAGCCCACCTATAGACTGCAATGCTTTACTATGGAGCAGATTAGTAGGGATGTGTGAAGCTTAAGTCCATGATTTCACTTAGCAGCCATGAGGCTTCTGCTGCCAGTGGAAGCAAGAAGGTGGGAGCAGTACCTGGCATCTTTGCACCTGCATCACTTCCCCTAACTCCAGAAATAGGCAACAGCAGCAGAATGACTGTATACTTCACTCCAATTTCATCTCCCAATGTGAGCCTCCTACTACCAGAGGAGGAGTTGGAGCTGGAACCAGGGGACCTGAGTGCCCTGGCTAAAGCAATTCTGGGGACTGAGGAGGAATCTGAGTTTGTGCTCCACACCTCTTAAAGTTTCCCTAGACCAAGGTCTCCTTCTCCAGAAAGCATCTCAGAGGAGCCTGAGGTTGTGGAGTCTCCAGAAAATGGCTCAGCTGAAGCTGCTCCTCCTGCTGTTTTTCTGCAGCCTGCTGAGAAGGGGGATAAGGCAGGACCTCCACCCTCAACCCAGAAGCAGGGGAGTAGTGTAGTGTGGGATCATTTTGAGCTGGCAGATGATCCCAGGTTTGCTCTCGGCCAGCACTGCTGAAGGCAGATCAGCCGGGGCAAGGAGGTGAAAGACTTCACCACCACAGTGATGCTGCTGCATCTCAGGAGGCTAAGGCTGGGGATCCTGCCTTACCCTTCTTCCTGATCAGCCTGGGAACAGTGTGAGCATGCCCAAAGGGAAGCCCCCCACTCACTCCAAAGCCCCCGTGCCCCCAAAGCAGAGGCAGGCCACCCTGGAGCAGTGGGGGAAAGCTGCAGACAGAGTGGGGTGCATTCCCAAGCCAAGTCAGATCACCCAGACCACTGGGGAGATGCTTGCTCTGGATAGCCAGCCCTTCTCCTTAGCTGAGTGGCCAGTGTTCAGGTGGCTCATGGCACTCATGGACCAAATTTACCAAGTGCCCGCACACACCACCTTTAGCAAGACAGTGGTGCCCTCCCTGTATGAGGCATGCAGGGAGTACTTGATGGAGGAGCTGCACAAGGCAGGGCCACAGGTAGCCCTGCACTTCAACTCTGACATCTGGGGCTGGGGTGGTGATCACACCTACATCTCCTCACAGGGCACTGGTGCAATCAGTCAGGATGTTGGTGGGCTCTCCTCCAAGCTGAGATTCTGGATGAGTCCCACAAGGCAAGGGAGGTCATGGTGGCCATGAACCACATGGTACAGGAGCGGCTTATTGGGCAGGCTGAGCTGACCCGTGGGTTCATGGTCACTGACCAATACGTTCAAGGCTGTCTGCGATGCCAACTTTGGTGGCATCTGCTGTGTGGCACAAAGGCTGTGTCTTATAGTCAGAGATGCCTTGGAGGGGGACAGGAATGTCACTGATGGCACCACCACTACCACTATGAGCCAGCTCATTTCAAAATGCAGAAAGGTGATGGGCTACTTCCACCGCAGCATCAAGGAGGGCAAGATGCTGCAGGAGGAACAGGCAGAGCTGAGCATCCCACAGCACAAAATCATACAGGATGTGGAGACTCATTGGAATTCCACATACCTGATACTCGAAAGGCTGGTGGAGCAACAGAAGGTCATCCATGAGATAGCCTTGCTCAGGGAGATTGGGATCAGCGGTCCCCTTAACAGAGTTGAGTGGGGTACCATTTCCCAGATCTTGCTGGTCCTCAAGCTCTTTCTTGAGGCCATCAAGATCCTCAGTTCTGGTGATGCCCTCCTTAGCCAGGTGATCCCCATAGTGAGGGAACTTGAGAAGCAAATGGAGAAGTTCCAGGGGATCAGTGTTCCTGGCTGGGGCAGATCGCTGTCACCAGATGTGCAGGCGTTATTGAGGCAGCTGAAGGAGGGAATCAGGAGACGGCTTGATCCCTTGCAGTCCAGTATGGTCCACATGCTGGTGGACATGTGAAACCCAAGGGTGAAGGGGAGCATGTGCACTGACAGCATCAAAACCCTCAAACACTGGACGCAGGTGCTGGTCAACAGAGTCAGGGAGGCAGAAGGGGAGAGACGAGGGGATGTGGAAGAGGGGGATCCACTTTTCCATGACAGCACTCCCAGCCCCAGCCCCAGCCCCAGCCATTCTTCTCCAAGCCAGCCACTGCCAATGTGGGCCACGGGCATAGCTTCAATGCTGGGGTCCAAATGCACTTGACCCCAGCCTCAGGTAAGTAGCACTGAGGATTTGGTGGATACCTATCTCTCTGAGCATATGGAGACACTGGGCTGCGACCCCTTGGTTTACTGGGCAAGCCTGGCAACACCTGTCCTGTCCACCAACCAGTGTTCCAAGTGAAAGGGTGTTCAGCATTGCTGGGGATGTTGTGACACCTCACTGCATCTGCTTGGATGCTGGTTTGGTGGAGCAGCTGGTGTTCTTGAAAATGAACCTCCTGCTGCTGGAGTTCCCCAAGCTCCACCTGCAGATGGACTGAGTGCCACCCTCCTCTCTCCATCTGCACCTATTTCTTTTTTTCCCTTTTTGAAAACCAGTTAATGCCCCACTCTCAGCTGGAGGGGGCATTGCTCGCTGCATCACCAGCCAGCAGGGGAAGAACATATCCCTGCTGAGCTTGCTCGCATGCCAGGATGAACTTGGAGGTCTGGACTGGGGCTATGGGGAAGGAGGAAGGAGGAGGCCGCAGGTCCTGGGCATAACCACTAAAACTGCAACCTGCCAGGGTAGGTAGGGTGGGACTGCTGGTGGTGCGGCAGTCCCATAAATGCCACATAAAGTTGGGTAGGAGATGTGATAACCTCCAGCTAATGCATGTATGCACACAGTCCTGGCTGGGGAAATTCCAGACCTGTCATGTCTTTCTTTGACAGGCCTGATTCTTGCTGGTTGTAATGGAGTTGTGAGGCTCCAGGTGAGCTCAGCTTAGATGCCTAGGATGCCAGCTTTTGGGTTGAAAATCCCTTTGTCAGGCTGAGGGAGCACCTGAAGTTTCTATGTCTGCTGGTCTTGGATGGAAAGAATAGAAAAGAAGCCAGAGGCTGGCCTGGCATGCAATGCAGGCAAGAAAGCCATTGGACCTCCTCAAGAACAGATCCAAATCAATTGGGTTAATGACTACACACACAAAATGTGTCAGAAGAAATAATTTTAACAAAGTATAGATTAAAAAATATATACTAAAAATCAAACCTACCATAAGTTATTTTAATTTTATTTTAAAAAATAATTTAAATAGTGTATGTATAGATGATTGAATAATAGCTCAAAATAAAATCTTACTCTTGTATGCTGTATGGTGCCCAAAGTGTAGGTACAGTGTAGCAGACCTCTCAGACCTCTTCCATTTGGTCACCCCCTTCCTCCCCTGCTTATTTCTGCCAGTGGTCCCACCTGCCATGACTTGATGGCATAAACTGACCTGGGACCATCTCAGCAGAAGAACAGGCTCTTGGTTACTTGGCCCTTGTCTGGATGGGGTCCTGCGGCAGGGAACTGGTAGTGCCTACCACTTTAAGAACTGGGCCAGGGAGAGGCAGGTGCTGAGGGCAGTTCATGATCAGCCAGCAGAGAAGAAACAGCTCTCTGTTGATCTCTCTGCTGAACTCTGCTAGGAACACCTTGGAGGTATATAGGATGGGTCTATGGGGATGGAGGAGGCTCCAGGTCCTGAGCATAAAACTGCACCCTGTCAGGGTAGAGAGGTCTGGTGGGACTGCCAGTGGCTCTGCAGCACCAGGAAATGCCAGGAGCACAAAACTCCCCAGTGAAAGGCAGGTAGTGTGGAGGATTTCCATGCTAGCCTCCTCCCTGTACCTCCTTCACCAGTTTTTTTCCCCTCTTTACCATTGTCTCTCTACCTGATTATGTGACCTAAGCTGAAGACATTCTTGAGGTGGGAGGGAACCTGCTCCCTTTGTCTCAAGTTACCCCCTCTTGCTGGCCAGGTGACCAGGTCTCTTACCTGTCTATCGCTCTAGATGCTAAGTAACCCTCTAGCCTACGTGCAAGACCTCACATATCAGGGAAGGGACTTAAAACTCTACTGTCTTAGCAAGGACCTCATGACTGGGAGTGGGGCTGGAGACCCTTTAAGTCTACCCAGCAACCCAGTGATGCATTTCCAGTTGATTGGCCTGGAACTTCAGCTAGTCTCCACTGGACCCCAGCCTGAGGTCATACGGTCTATATAAGTAAAAGACTGTCCAGGAGAAGGGGTGGAATCCATGATAAAGACACAGAGATGAGCAGGACATCTGCAGCTCTCTTTCTTGAAACTGGACACACAAGGAACTGCCTGCCTCCAGAGGAAAATATACAGCCTCTGGATGATACTTGTGAGTAAAATACTTGAAATCTAACTAGATATATAGCTTTCAGTAACTCAGATGCATGATCAAAGGCTACCCAGCCTTCCTGTTTGCTCTAAGGTATTTCTCTGATATTGCTCTCTCCTTTACCCTACTCCAAACCTACTCCTTGTAATCAATAAAGTTCTACTCTGCCTAGTGTAGGCGACTTATTGGGAGAGGGTCTAGATTATGCCTTGTGGTCTCCTTAGTCTGGCTGACCAAGGGAGGCCGCTATTTGTGCTTCAGA